TTTATTTTAAAAGAATAAATTAGTATGTTGGTTCACACCATTGGACTGGTTTATCAGGCCAACATTTTGCAAGAAAAATCTTGTATGATGTGATTATACAATGGAATGAAATTCTCACAATTCCATAATTAACTTTGATAGCAACAACATATAGGAATAAAACAAATGAATAAATAAGGTGCCAATATAGATGCTAATAAACCATCAATGAAAACAATACCAGATAGAGCCCCAGCCTGTGTGGAGTTTACATGGTGGAAGGGTATGCATACAGATTGAATGTTTGATACTACTTTTGTTTTTCTTTTTCACAATGTGGTAATGTTTATTTTCGAATCCATGTCTAAACTTCTCGCTTCTCCCAGTCTAAAATTTTTTAGCATTGCACCAAGCAGTATTCACTCATCAACATTACCAATATACTAAGTATATATAAGGATCTTTCTTGGTGTATTTCAAGATAAGAATGCAACTACTACATTATAAAGAAGCAATTTTGTATGGCTCCAGCATAGATAGGATAAACAAGAATACCAGGAACTATGAGAAAAATATAGTACATAATTTTAAGTAAAAAAAAAAAAACTAACAACTAAATAAACAGTTATGCATATAAATTTCTAGACTACTATAGCATAGATTTGCTAGTATAAGTTAGCATAACCAAATCAAGGGAGGGCTACATTTTTCTTCATTGCTGAGGAGGGACAATCCAGATAGAAGGCAGTTGAATCTTCATGTCATATTCATAAATAGGAGTGATGTTGTTATCTTCCAAGTTGAAGATACCCAAATCGTGAGAGTCCCTGAGGAGTTCAGCATCAGGACTAGAGAAGTAAATACAATTCATGGGCAAGCCGGGGAAATCAGAGGCCGAGACAGAGAGAGAGTCGTTAAGGCCGACAAACAATGCTGTGGTGTCACCTAAGCTTGGCAAGAGTAGCCACTCCTTGTTAACAAAGTCTAGCTTATACACATCAAATAGAATGGTGTACTTGGGATCATTCTCATCAACTGGATCATCATAGTACCTAACAACCATCAACAACTCCCCTGAAGACTCCACGAGATAATGATCAGGACTCCAAGCACGTCTCAACTGCCTTTCGTGTTTGTCCATTGTGGGGTGTACCAAAGGAGGCAAATTAGAAATGATGAGAGTGTTCTTTGGAGAGGCAGGGTTGCGGAGATCCCAAGCTTCTATAAGGTTATTATTGGTGGACAATGCATAAAATTTTTGGTCCTTGCTGAAATATATGACATCTTTGTATGATCGTGCTTCTCCATCTAAGGCAGTCCATGAGGTGTCCCCAATTCTGCAGAAGGCGAGGCTGTATTTAATGTAACCTTGGATGACCATCACAGTGCAATCATCAGAAGAACAAGCACTCATTTCATTACTATTATTGATGTTATCGTGGAGATGATGATGGTTGGATGGGAATGGGGACGGGGATGAGGATAAAGCAATCTTCTTGAAGAAAGGCGCCTTACTCAGTTCTTGAGATGAAATGGGCGAGAAGTGAGTCCAAATGGTGAACTCAGTAACAATGGATGATGATGATGATGATGATGATGAGGAATTGTAGCGTGAAGATGAGATGAAACAAGGGAGTGTTTGGATAGGAGGGAGAGGGAGGTAAGGGAGATAGGAGTGACTGAAAGGGTTGAAAAGGTAGAGAGAGCAATTGCGAGGGTGGATAAAGGCGAGCCAGCCACGAGATGAACCAAAGCAGATGGCCTCGTTAGGGGGAAGTAATTCCCTTTGCCATGGAAGCATAACATTTTTCGTCTTCATCTTCATCACTTTCTTCTCCGTAAGGCTAAAGAATCTGTAGTAATCCCTGGTGTCCTTGGCCTCCATTGTTACAAGTTTGAACATTTCTCTGTCGTCTGGTTGAGCAACCAAACCAGAGCCACCAGGTAGCATGATACACGGTGCTGATCGCAGAGGAAGAGGTCCACTTAGTGCCCCCTGTTCATCAACTACGTCTACTACTGTTGCTGTTGCTTCGGTAGAAGAAGAAGAAGAAAAACGTTGGATTGATGAAAAGGTCGCACCTTTTTTTAAGCCTCCGACTGGTCTGCCTCCAACACCAATAAAATACTCCGATGATCGGACGGGAGAAAACAAACCACCACCACCACCACCGGTGGAGTGGTGAAATTTGGCCGCCGAATTAGAACAATAGGACCATGTTTTAAGCATAGAGCGGCGGCTATGCAGCATGCGATCGCCAAAACTCCTCCAATTAGCCATCTGATCTCTCTTCTCCTTCTCCTTCGATATTTCAATTATTCCTCACTGCCTACTCCCAACCCTAAATAAATAAATAAACATATATATATATATATATATATATATATATATATATATATATTTATTTAAATTCATTTAATAAATGGAAACCAAAATATGTGAAAAATAAATTAAAAAATTTGTTCAAAATAAATGAGATTGTTAATTGTCCACTATTCTTTTTCTTCTCTCTTTTAAATCATCAAAAATAATTTATATATTATGTTGTAAGCTACAATTGCAACACTTTTTTGTTATTAGATTTGAAATTTTAAAATTAATATTAAAGACTTTAAATGGAGTTCACAAACCTACCAACATTGGCATAAGTCCATGTAGATAAGAAAGGTTGTTGAAAGAGTAATGTATGGGATTTTACGAAACCTTCTTCCCTGACATAGAATGAGAAAGAAATTGATGTTGTTAATCCTAGATAGAATTTGTGTTAAACTAATAAAATAGTTTGTGAAAAATTAGCAATTTAATTGATATAAAATTCATCTTGATAGAATGAGCAAGTAGTTTGCAACTCTTTAACACATAAACAAGTTAAATATTGAAAATGATTTAAAAAAAATAAAATAAAATATAGTGCATATAATAAACTGAAAATGAAGGGTTGTTAAATTTTAACTAATTACAGTGATGATTTTGTTTAAATAGCTAATTGTTACTATCCCTAAAGGTATTTGAATTTTGAAAAAATGACTCTAATTGGACATTGAAGAAGTGATTTAGTTTAATAAAGAATATTTTATATTTTTAAAAATATATATAAAGTGTATGGAGATAAGAAAAATGTCTTACATGTATAAATGATTTAAATATTGAAAAAAATTAAAATGGTTAAAAAAAAAAAGAAAGAAGAAGAAGAAGAAGAAGTGCATATAAAAATTGAAAATGAAGGGTTGTTAAATTTTAATTAATTAGAGAGGTAATTTAGTTTAAATAGGTAATTCTTAGTGTCCCATGTAGAATAGATGTTTTAATTTTGAGAAAATAACTCTAATTAGATATAGAAGAAGTGATTTATTTTAATAGTGCAATTTTTTTATTATTATTATTTTTTTAAAGGAATATTTAGGCCTAGTTTGGTAGAATAGAAATGGGAGGAAAAGAAAAGAAAGATAATGAAGGGAAATAAAAAATTATGTTTGGTATAAGAGAGTGAAAGGAAAGGAATAGGAATGGAGGATTTTGGAGGGAGAGAGTAAAACTTAAATAGTAACATTTGCTATACCCTCAAGAGTGGAAGGGAACCAAAGGAAAAAAAAATATATATAGAGACGCTAATGTTATTTCGTTAATACCAAATTTATCCTTAAATCAATGAGAATTTCTAATCCTTTCAATACCTTTCGGCAACTGCTCTTTCAGTGCATTATTGACGGGCTGGAAACAAGGTGGGCAATATTCATTAAAAAAAAAAAAAAAAAATGCATCAAGTACATTATCCTAATTAGCATTTATGGTACCATTCTTCTCATCGAGTTTATCATTTTTCAAAGCATCCTAACTTACTCTTTCTTACTTTTGTTGGGTAGATGGTACTTCAGTTATTGTTGTGAAAGTTAGATCATATATTTATTTTGTAACATCATCAACAATATATCACTCAATATAAATAAAGTGTTAATTACCAAGTATTATCCCCACAAACAATGTAATACCATATATTTTTGTTAAGCTTCTTTATTTGGTATTATGGGTTACAAAAATTGGTTCAAACTTTGAAATGGTTAAAAACATGTTTGGCAGTGGATGTCATGCTCAGAAATTGCATGCTTAATCTATAAATTTGTTTTTTAAAATTTAAAAGGTATATTGGTAAATTAATTAAAATGATTTCCTTTCTTTTTTCCTCTATTATTCTTTTTTTTTTTTCATTAATTAACACGATAAGAATATATAACTTTCCTTTCATCTCCTTTCCTTTCTTTTCCCTCGTAACAAATGTTATGCTTAAAACTAGACAGTGACGAAAAATTGAAATCGCCGTCTTGGAGAAGAGAGAGATGTCTAATTGGAAGGGTTTTGGTGATCGGTTGCTGCATTGCCGCCTGTCTATGCTTAAAACATGGGGCAATTGTTCCAATTCGGCGGCCAGATTTTACCACTCCACATGCGGTGGTGGTGGTAGTGGTAAGGGTGGTGGTTTTCTCTCTCCCGTCCGATCATCAGAGTATTTTCTTCGTCTTGGAGGCAGATCGGTCGGAGCGTTGAAAAAAGGTGCGACCTTCTCGTCAATCCAACCTCATTTTTTTTCTTCTTGTGCTAAAGCAACAACAGATGTAGTAGTAGTAGTTGAAGAGGAGGCACGAGGACCCCTCCCTCTTCAATCGGCACCGTGGCTCATGCTACCGGCTGGATGTGGGTTGGTTGCTGAAGGCGACAGCGGAAGGTACAAGCTTGAGGCGAAGGACGGCGAGAGGGATTACTACCGGTTCTTTAGCCTTAGGGAGAAGAAAGTGGTGAAGATGAAGACGAATCTTATGCTTCCATGGCAAAGGGAATTACTTTCCCCCGACGAGGCCATCTGCTTCGGTTCGTCTCGTGGCTGGCTCGCCTTTATCCACTCTCGCAATTCCTCTCTCTATTTTTTCAACCCTTCCATTCACTCTTATCTCCCTTACCTCCCCCTCCCTCCTATCCAAACCCTCCCTTCTTTCATCTCATCATCACGCCACAATTCCGCTATGCACTCACCATCTTATTCTTCTTCATCCATAAATTATAATGATATTGTTACCGAGTTTATGTTGTGGAATAACTACTCGCCCATATCATCTCAAGATCTGAATAAGGAGGAGGTTTTCTTTAAGAAGATTGTTTTATCCTCAGCCCCGTCCCCGTCCCCATTCCCTTCCAATCATCATCTTCATATTGAAAACACCAATAATAATAGTAATAATAATAATAATGAGGAGAGTACTTGTTCTTGTGATTGCACTGTTATGGCCATCCAAGGTTACAAGCAATACAAACTCGCCTTCTGCAAAATTGGGGATACTTCATGGACTGCCTTAAATGGAGCAGCAACAGGATACAATGATGTCATCTATTTCAGCAAGGAACAAACTTTTTATGCCTTCTCCCACGGTGATGAAATAATAGAAGCTTGGGATCTCAGTAACCCTGCCTCTCCAAAGAATACTAGCATTATTTCTCATTTGCCTCCTTGGGTACACCCCACAATGGACGAACACCAAAGCCTGCTCAGACGTGTTTGGGATCCCGATCATTATCTAGTGGAGTCTTCCGGTGAGTTGTTGATGGTTGTTAGGTACTATAAGGATGGTAAACAGATAAAGACCATTCTATTTGATGTGTATAAGCTAGACTTTGTTAACAAGGAGTGGCTACTCTTGCCAAGTCTGGGCAACAGGGCACTATTTGTCGGCCTTAACGACTCTGTCTCTGTCTCTGCCTCTGATTTTCCCGGGTTGGCCATGAATTGTATTTACTTCACTAATCCTGGCATACTCCCCGAAGACTTTCACGATTTGGGTATCTTCAACTTGGAAGATAACACCATCACTCCAATTTATGATTATGACTTGAAGATTCAACTGCCTTCTATCTGGATTGTGCCACCTCAGCAATGAAGAAAAATGGAGCCCGCCTCTGTTAAACAGGTTATGCTAATGTATTCTAGCAAATTTATGGTATGGTAGTCCAGAAATTTATATGCATCATTGTTTTTATTTTCTTATACTTTAAATTATATACTCTATATTTTGCATACTTTGTAATGACCACTAAATTTATAACACAAATTACTAACTAATTAAAGTGTGAAGTTATAAAAGAATAATTTAGTAAATTAAGAAATAATAGAAATGAAATATAATCCTAATCTGAATAGGATGCTTATATGAGAACAATATATATAGGGATGTCTTCAAAATCTAGGGTTATTGTTTTTGAGGAAGAGAACAAGAGGTGGTCAAGTAAATTAGCAAAACAATCAGCTAAGTAGTATTCTAATTATTAATTTTTACAATAAATGGCATGTTTCTGGTATACTTTTAATAAATTTACATTTGAATTCTGTAATAATTCTTGGGTTATTGGTAATGCTATAATGGAATTGATTTGAATATATTTGTTTGGGATATGTTGAATTGGAAACATGGGACTTATATTAAAATTTGGAAGATTAAGAACACACACACAAGAATTGATATACTTATGTGCTCGTGCGTTTTTGGGTATATGATGGACCCTAAACTTTAAAACTAACCTTGGTTCATTCAAGAACATGTCGTAGATATATATGTAATGTAATATATACATATTTATAGGCTTAAAAGTGTTAAGGATTTCTGACGGTCGGGACATGAATTTGGGGCCAAGTTTATTACACAGGTTAGTTGAATTCTTTGAATGTATAGATGTTTTAATGATCTAAGAGCAATAACACCTTGTTTTTGGTATGATTAGAGAGGGTTTCTATGGTCTGATTTTGAGGTTGAAAAGGGCCGAAAGTTTCATCTTATTTTGTTATAAATTAACACAACGAATGAACGTATAATATGTTTTATGATCTAGATTTGGAGCCCTGAGATTTTTGTGTGCTTTGGGGTGGAATGTGGTTTGATTATAGAGGTTCTATTTGTCTGGTCGTGAACTATTCTTGCTGGGTCTGTATTTCATGAACACAAAGGAAGTTTGAGGAAGAAAGATGGGAATGGATCCTCTCCAATAGTTTTCCTCTCCATGTATCCCCAAGCATTCATCCAATGGGTAAAAAAAAAAAAAATCACATCACCATCTTGTTTAGATTAAGTCAGTTATGAAACCATAACATGGTGATTACACCAATGATGATGTGACACGTTTTTTTATCGTTGGATAAAGCCTTGGAGACAATGGGTGAGAATCAAAATCCAGAAGGGTGAGCCATGGGCCTTATGACGAAGCCCACTCATGAGACAAGTGCTGGGAGGAGAGTGTGGTTAACCTGTTGTGAGTTTTGAGTCGGGTTTTGGCCATTTGGTACTCTCTGTGTCTGATTTTATGGGTTCGCAATTGGGTCCATCCAAAAGATTTTTATATTTATAATTGATATAAATGATGAGATATTGTTTAACAATTACAGAAATGGAAAATTATAATTAAATATTATTAGTTTAATTGAGTTTGAATACACTTAGGAACTTTGAGTTAAAATGGGATTTAAATTAGTTAGTGGTTTAATTAGTTTGAAAAGTAGCACTTTTTGGTACAAAAATTGGGAGTATGAATTAGTCTTAATTAGCTAGGTTTTGATATTTTGTGAGGATCTTAGTTTGCTGGATTTGTGATTTTTATATATGAGAATGGGATTTAAATTTGTTAGTGGTTTAATTAGTTTGAAAAGTAGCACTATTTGGTACAAAAGTTGGGAGTATGAATTAGTCTTAATTAGCTATTAGTTTGAAAAGTAGCACTATTTGGTACAAAAGTAGGGAGTATGAATTAGTCTTAATTAGCTAGGTTTTGAACTTTTATGAGGATCTTAGTTTGCTGGATTTGTGATTTTTATATATGAGAATGGGATTTAAATTAGTTAGTGGTTTAATTAGTTTGAAAAGTAGCACTATTTGGTACAAAAGTTGGGAGTATGAATTAGTCTTAATTAGCTAGGTTTTGATCTTTTATGAGGATCTTAGTTTGCTGGATTTGTGATTTTTATATATGAGAATGGGATTTAAATTAGTTAGCGGTTTAATTAGTTTGAAAAGTAGCACTTTTGGTTACAAAAGTTGGGAGTATGAATTAGTCTTAATTAGCCAGGCTTTGTTATTTTGTGTGTATCTTAGTTTGCTGGATTTGTGATTTTTATATATGAGAATGGGATTTAAATTAGTTAGCGGTTTAATTAGTTTGAAAAGTAGCACTTTTTGGTGCAAAAGTAGGGAGTATGAATTATTCTTAATTAGCTAGGCTTTGTTATTTTGTGTGGATCTTAGTTTGCTGGATTTGTGATTTTTATATATGAGAATGGGATTTAAATTAGTTAGTGGTTTAGTTAGTTTGAAAAGTAGCACTTTTTGGTACAAAAGTTGGGAGTATGAATTATTCTTAATTAGCTAGGCTTGGATATTTTGTGAGGATCTTAGTTTACTGGATTTCTGATTTTTATATATGGTACTCTCCCTGGTTGTACTTCTTAGTTATAAATTGCAGTTAAGATGAATCACAACTACAAGTATATACGGTCGGGACATGAATCACAACTACAAGTATATTGGTCAAATCTAACCCATGGAAGGAATTGGATTAAGATTTTTGATTGCGGGTGATAAAATTTCATGTGTGAACTAATATATATATATATATATATACATATATATATATGTAGGCATATTAATATGACTTGTGTTGTTCTTTTAAAGCGTGATTTGTGTTGTTTAGCCCTTTGTTACCTTAACTTCTTGTTGACAAGGAAAGAAACCAAAAAAAGATAAACCAAATTGTGTGTAAAGGTAGATGGTTGCACTTGTTAATGGAGTCTTGTCCCAGGTTAAAATAAATATAAATCTATGATTATCTTATAATTAATTAACTAAAAAGAGTTCTTAAGAAAACATATTTTATTTTTACACTAAATCATAACTAAATACTTTCTTTTATTTATTTGAATAATGTTAATAAGCCTATTTGTGAGTTTTAATCTTGTAGCGCTTAACAGACCCACACCCATTTACATCCTACTACTTTCCAAGACGGTTGTCGAAAGCAAATTGTCGAGTGGCCCTGGTTTTCAAAATGCGTAAGCATATAACGACGCCCTTCTGGGCTAATCCCTGCTGACCTATAAGATGTTAGCATTACGTCATGTCAGAGCGAACCGTGAAAGACAGTGCACCTATCGCTAGGTTTGCAGAAGGCAATATCATCTGATCTGCTGCGGATGTCCATAGTAATTCCCATCAAGTTCTGATTTTGATGATGATGAAGAACAACAGGGGACAGCTGATGACACAAGAAAAAAATATCAGGCATTTACAAATGACCTAGAAAAGCCAAAGCAAGCATCTAGAGCTTCTGGAAAGAAGACAGAGCAGACATCACAAAATAATTTTCAGTGGTATCTCGAATCATGGAGCAATGTCATTTTAGATTCAAGGGCTCACCATCATGTTTGTCATGACCTGACAACGGTATAGATATTATCCGTTTTGTACACTCTCCATGTTATGATTTTTCTCAAAATGTATCTTCACAATTAACATGCATCCACACATATAAGTGTGGCATCAAAACTTCTACCAACATGGAGAACGTATTCGGTGTGCACCGGGCACATCAGAGCCGTTTGTGTACAACATGCGCGGGTATGGACAGCTCTAATGGCCTGGTGCACGGTAAACCGGGCACACCGAATATATTCTCCCCAACATGCATCCACACATATATAAGTGTGTCATCAAACCTCTCACCTAGGCGACGTAGGAAATTACAACGTTAGTTACTTGTTCACCTTATTTATTCAACATTAAGTATCACAAATGTTTATCACTTTCCAAGAAGGAAAGTGCTACATACCAGGCCTACCTAGGGAGCGACTTACAACCAACATGAAACCATGACAAATAGAATGCAAACTGCAAGATGCCCTACTCAGCAACTCCAAACTATAACTATAATACAGATCAACTGAAACAAGTAAGATGCCATACTTAGCAACTTCAAAACTATAATACAGATCAAATAAAACAAGTAAGATGCCCAATATATAGTAGCTTATCAAGTTTCATCTTCAAGATAGTAACAAACTGAAATAAAAAAAGATCAATGCTCATATAATCATATCCTTGCCAACCATGAATTCATAACCATATGCATACATTAATGGCAACCAAGCATACACTAATAAAGACCAACCAATGAGAATTATAAGCAAAACACCTTTTCAAGCACAAATCAGTTAGCACCAAAATCTACCCTAGGAGGAGAGAGATTATATTATTATGTAATAGTGATCAAGGTTGTTAAAATCAGGATTCTACCCAGAATCGTTTTGGACTCTGTAGAATCGGAATCGTAGAATCAGATTGAGAATCGCAAGATTGTACCAACTAATAAAAAAACAGTTCAAACTAACTTCTTAAGCAATAATATCTAAAACACACCCAAAAAAAAAAAAAAATGTATAAAAGTACCGAAAAAAGAACACAGACCAGAAGCAAGATGTGTTCTAATAAAGGAGTGCACAGACTTGATTGATTCGTAATTTCAAGCAAAACATTGCAATACAGAAGTTTGGTTTGATTTAAGGGAGTTAATCTGGGCGGATAACAGGCCCTTCAGAACCCAAAAAAAAAAAAATTTGAACAAAATAAAGAAAGAACATAATATAATAAGAACCCAAAAAAAAATTTTGAACAAAAAAATGAAGGAACAAATTTCAATCAAAAATGAACAAATTTCAGAAACAAAAAAAAAAACACACACACACAACTTTTAAGTTTGAGTGATATGAGAAGTCTGTCAACTATGTCGAGGAGAGTGTCAAACTGTCAACCAAATTGAGGTCGAAGAGCCAGCAAATGAGTTTGAGTGCCTAATTGAAGCTTCCATGACGATTGCAGTCTGTCGAGGAGCCAGCGATGTCAAACAGAAGCCAACTTGTGGAGAAGAGATGACT